ATGAAACTGAAGCCGTCAAAAAACGATAAAATTCTCCTCTTAAAAACCATGGAGCTCTATAATAAAGTGTCCATTTTCAAAGTGTTTTGTGATCATTAAGCTTATGAATAGAAAAGAAAGATTTTTAAATTAGAACATCCTGCCCTGTAGTAATGATGGATAACCATGGCTAGTCCCTGGTTAGGACTGTACATGGTTGTAAATCACATCCAACCTTCCATATGCCCGTGAATAATTAAAACCACTAAACAAGGACCTATCGGATCAAAACCTCGTTAAAAACATCAAATGAAAACACTTGTCCTCATTAAGGCCAAAATTTTATTTAGCGTGTTTACAAAAGAGGAGGTAGGGATGAATTACAGGGGTGTGTTTCTTTGGCCCCTCCATAACTCATAGCCCATCCATCTTACTCTCACAATGGGATCCAAAAACAGTTTTCAAATTTCAGAGTTAATTTATTTGTAAAGTACTCTAGCAGAACTAATTATTGCCTGGATGTCAGAAGGGAGAAAAATATTGTGATCAGAACAGGAGAAATGACATATTATCACTGTCTACAAGCGGTCATGGCTTGATTAACCTTCCAAATGACTTCTGCAGTCCTACATCCTTCTCCTCTGTAAATTTGTCATCACCAGACTATGGGAAAATTTGGATGAAAAAGTTGTTGCAGCAGTACTCTCAACCAATCACACTGGAGCAGGACAAATGCTTCTAGTGGCAGGTCAACATTGTAAGTGATGAGAAATGAGGGCAATCCATTTGTTTTGTTTAAGATGAAATTTCAGTTTTTTAAAAAAAGGAAAATTAAGTTTAAACAAAAGAGATGATATCAAGAACCCATGTATTTGTGTATGTTTGGCGGGCATATTGAAACTGGCAAATACATGTTAAATTCACAACATTAATAAAACATTAGTTATGATTTGTGTGTATAAACTATTAAAATATTCATTCTATATCAATATGTATTTTTTAAATGTCATAATAAAATTTTCATTGCTTGTTAAAAGAATAAATGTGATATGTTGCAAATTTTATTTCTAAAATATTCTTGTAGTGCAGTTGTGAAAAAAATATATATGCACTTACTTCAAAATATACACTCATTATTTCAATTTGACCAAATTTTAAAATGTTTTAAAAACTGTTTCCATGTAGAGCTTTCTTTTTTAATTCCAAATTATAAATTCTTAAAATTGAACCATTTATGCCTCAAATTTTCCTGGAAAGAAATTCCAATTATTTTTATATCTAGTGATCTCTCATTTACATGAATAATTATTAAGCTGTTCTTGTAACTTAAAAAATAAGTAGACTTCCTCAGAACCAGTATTGTTTCTTTTAATAAGTAATCATGTCATCCATTTAAATATTTTTAAAAATCATGAAGTGAATACCTTGAAAGTTTGATTCTATTGAAACAAACTAGTGTTAAGATTATTTAACTTCAAAGAAAAATAATTTTTGTTCATTATTGTAAAAATGAATATATTTTAAAAATCTTAAGATTTAATTTATTTTGAAATAAATTTTCATTAACTTAATATGTTTCTTTTAATCACTCTTGTTTGTTTGGAGGAAACTGGAGTAATCAGTTTTTCGCAAGTGACCCCAAACTTTTGAGGTCCAATTAGGGGATCAAATGGATGGTTTTGTGGTGTAGTGGATGGCATGCTCACCTTTCACCAAGGCTGCTGAAGTTCAATTCCACAATTAGACAAGAAGAGAAATTATAGAATCTTCTAACATCCAGGTCTGATAAAAGTTGATAAAACTTGATTTGCAAATGTTTAAGATGAATAGATTTTTAAAGTATTCTATAATCAAACCCCATCTGACTTCGGAAATTGGCAATTTTTGTTTTCTCTGTCTTTGCCACCTGACCATGCATATACTTTTCAATCATAGTATGCAGATTTCGTTTAATCTGTGGAACCATTCACAAATTCTGACCGTGCTGCTCAGAAATTCCAATAACTTAAGACAACAATAAATTTTTTTATCTTCAACTTAAAAGTCAGAATTTTGGAAGATTTTCATATCCTTGAAAAAAATTCATGTCCTGGTAGTTTGTAATTGACTAGTAATTTGGCTGTGAAAAAAAAAGATGATGCAAAACTGCAGGTGTGCTTTAAAATAGTTGATTAGTGAAGTCATACCTAAGATCTCAGGCAGACAAAGGTGTGTGCTGTAATCAGCATCTATCTTAATCTGCCTAGATAACGCTACTGTCATATAGGGACAACATTCATATAGAATCCCTATAGTCAGCTAGCTGATACTATCAGGACTTACAGGTGAAAATATACCCACAGACTTGTACTCCAGGTATTCACCACCATATCAGGAAAGTTCATATACAACAATGTACCTTGCTTACCCATGTACAAGGGATATGGCTAGGTGTACAGATTGCCCCTCCCTCCTACAGCTGATTGTTATTTATCACACCACCCCCTCCCCAATGTCCAGCAATACTTATGTAGGTCCAGCTACTTGTCCAAAGACCAGTATAGGTACAGGTGCCCTTTCCTGCACTTTCTTGCAGTGCCAGTACAGGTATGTGTCTGATGAGCTATGTATGCAGATGAGGGCCTATCAAGGCCAGGTGAGAAGAGTGACAGGTAGCCCGGGGTCAGTGATGTGATCACCATCAGTATTGTGTGGTATGTCCAGTGGGTCAGACCTTGTATATACAGGTAGGCCAAAACACCATGGACATCTAAACATGTCTTCTCAGCTCTCCCTTCTTTTCACGTTTTCTGGAAAGTGATCTCTCAGAATCTGGACATTCCAACAGTCTAGGCAGCTATTTGTGAACCATGACATTGGAGGGATGTGAGTACTACTGTAGAGCTAACTTGTGTTTTATGTATGGTGGCCGTCAATGGGCAGTTGTGCCAGCCTCTCTCTGGCCGAGAGTATGTCACGGCTGTAGCATCAGACACCAGGATGTGGGTCTGACCTTAGTGTTACAACCTCATACACACACAATCAACATCAGTGGTCACTGTCTGGTCATTATCAGTAGCTTAGAAATTCAGAGATTTATTTCAGGATCATCGGCCTCTTAACATGACTGATAATTTGGAAATGAGTAATTGATGTTTTGGGGTAAAAAAAAAAAACTGAAGAAAGATTAATATTATGAGTTAATGGAACGTTGCTTAAGACCTAAATCTATTTTAGGTCTAGAGGTTGATAAAATCAATTTGAGACTGATTTCTTGATATTGTGCTATAATTATAATCATGTCCCTGCTATGTATTATGATTCCAGAGAGTGGTCTATTTTAAATACGGTGGCTTTTAAGTTGATGTACCAGGCTGTTATAGATAAAACCTCGTGTAGGTGATAGGCTGGCTAGATAACTCCTTAAGTATACCTTACAATGTCACACTCCAGATCGTAGCAGTTAACCTATTTTTCTGTCCATTGCATATTTTATCATGGCAGAAATATAAACGATCTTGCTGTAAAATTTAACATTTTACACCTATCTTGCAGTAATCAAACAAAATTTTTAAAAGTTTGAATTTAAGTTGAGGAACAACTATTAATGTTACTAAACTGTGATAAAATGAACATTTATTTGATAAACCTTTAGTTATAAGTAGCAATGTACTGGGGTCAGTAGATGGTTACCAATTAATTATGACTGTTAATGCTATATTTACATTTTATGCACTAGACTGTGAGTCCACTGATGTTATGTGGAGGTCACCTTATGTCCAGTACAGAATGTCCAGTTTGTTCTATACAGAATGTCCAGCTTTTTTCTGTACAAAATATTCAGTTATGAAACTAAAATATATTTTATCAATCAAAACCAGCATATTTCTGTTATAAGTATATTTAATTACACTTTAAAAATTATGGTCTTTTCAAAACTTGTAAAACAAAATATTAGATATTTTATATGTATCATTAAAAAGGTTTAATTATTTTTTTTAAGTCTAGGAAAATTCTTGATAACCAGTAAGGATTGAAATTTATGGTTGAAAGTAAAGAATAAAATTTGTGAGTTATTGGTTGACCAGTCCTTCAGCCTGACCACGCTAAAGGTGGGGACTACCAGCTTGACCACTCACATTATTCTGGGCACTGGATGGTCATTATATGGTCACCTATTAATTGTGTCCTGGTATCTTACACTTGACCGGTCCCAGGCTAACTATAGCTGACCTTTATTGACCAAATGAATTCACATAAAAGATGGCTGAGAGATTTTTCTTTGTCCCAGATAAATTAAGTCCGGGACTCATGTGAAATAAGTTTGTATTATGTGAAGGGGTGTTTAGTTGGATGGTAAAGTTACTGACACTGTTCTGAGGTACAAATTAATCAAACATTAAACCCTGTACAGGTGATCAGCTTGTGTATATGTGGCATGTACAACTCATAGCTCAACAAAGTCAATACTTTCAATTAGAAGCTCATAAAAATTGCATCTGTTGCATTGCGTAATTATTGAGTTTAATGTAATATTTCCTAACATCAGAGCCTTCATATTTATCAACAAAAATTACTTTTTCATGACATACTTCCGAAACATCATTATTGAATACTCCATAATTATGCATGAACACAAGCTTGTGTTACCTGTATAATTAATAGCCGTTTGTTACAGATAGTACCGTTTCATCATCTAGTAGTGATCCTGGACGAAGGGCAGGTGTACATTATGTATATGTATATAAATCACTGACTTTGCATTCATTTTCATCACAAAGTGTAACTGTTGATGAATTACTGGAAAATTAATTTGGTTCCTCACTGTTTCAAGCATGTGAAGACCTACTTAGGACTGCAGGTGGAATTTACTTTTCACATAAAAGAGCTGGTGAACTGTTGTTTGTGCGTCGTTGAATTATGGGTCATTGCCATATTAATCCATGTCAAGTCATAATCAAGTTTTTCAAGGATTTTTCTTCTCTTTACAGATGAAAACTATGACAGAATAGAGAAAAAGAAATGAAGACTGATGCCGCATTATGGACTTTGAGCCCTTAAGTCCTTCCCCTGGGACCCAGTCCAGCCCCGATATGGCACTCACTCTCACCTCAGCCCCAAACTCCTACGGGGGCAAGCTTTCCCCCATCACCAAATACCATATAGATCAGGGATCCGAGTCAGGCAGACTCTTTAATTCCAAAACTCTGGGTGAATCTGATACTGCAAATCTAAGCTTAAAGTTTAAGTTGCCAGTTCCTGGAAATACTGAAACGACCAATGGATCTGGATCAGCCGAGTCAGGAATGGAGTCTTCAGACTCAATATCTAGTGCCTCCCCACCAGGGAAGGAGGAGGAAGAAGAGGAAGTGAACGAGGAGGAAGAAGAAAGTTCAGTGAAGGATGATGAGCCTGTAGACTGTGCCAATTGTGACAGTGGTTACCCTTCTCTACAGTCCTACATGGATCATAAATGTGCGGGAACTGATCAGTCCCCGTTTAGGAATAGAACCTCGCTAGACAGAACAAACCTCACTAATACTAGTAATAATGTAGACGATGATTTCAGTGATGGCGAGAGTTTTGATGGTAAAATTGTGTATAATTCTGATGGGTCGGCTTACATCATTGAGGGCGGCGACTCGGACTTGAGCGATCTTGATTCTATAATAGACTTACCACATCAGGACGGTATTATCATAGACAGGAAAGGCAGTGATATTCAGTCACAAGTCTCTGCCTTCCCATACGTTGCTAACGCTTTCTTTGTTCCCAGAAATCCAGCTTCTGTGTTAAACAGTATTTATAGTGCTCCATCTTCTCATCCCTACCCCCACCAGGCCCCGATGATGTTCAGTTATCGTGTGTACGACGTCCGTTCAGGGAAAACAAAGACAGACAAGGCTGATAGTGATATGGATGGCAGTGCGACTGCTGATAGATTATCTACCTCAGACGCAAGTAAGGGTTGGACGTCGGTCCCAACAAAACCCATTCTCATGTGTTTTATATGTAAACTATCGTTTGGTTACGCAAAGTCTTTCACAGCTCATGCTGAAACTGAGCATTCAATGACACTGAACAGCGAAGAGGTGACAATTATGTCTCAGAAAAATTCATCTGCCATTATACAATGTGTGGGCAAGGAGAAAGAACCTCTAATGTCATTCTTGGAGCCCAAACCTGGGAAATCGCTTCCGACTAATGACGCCCATTCTCCCTCAGCCAAACCTTCTTCACAAGAGTTGTTTTCACCTACAAATATGTTGTGTTCCAGCTACCCGGGTAGCCTGAAAGACACAACCTCTGTCAGTTTTGTGTACTCGAAGCCAAAGCTTTCTGACAACCTCATAGCTAACTCAAGTCCACTGATGATGCAGTTGAAATCGGAGAAATTACACGACCCTAGTACTCAGGGATTATCCGACTCTAAGAGGTCGGAGGTGGCAGCGGGCAGTGCCAAGTCAGGGGTTAACCATGGTGCTATGCTGGACTGTGTTGGTGTTCATAATCAAGGGACAAAATATAACAACTCTGTGTGTAACCTCAGTGAAACCTCAGGAATCCCAGATCACAGTGGAGGATCAGACTATGACCTGGAAACATCTTCAGTCAAGGATGTCCCACCTCAGAATGAGAATGTTTTCCAGAGTCCTAACAACCACAGACAAAGTCTAGACATGTCATCATCTAGTGCTTCCTATACTGTGCCATCACTTACCATGTCATTGCCAATGGCAACTAGCCATCCATCATCCTCAGTGTTTCTCGGGGTGTGTGAGGATCATCCACAGGGACGTGCCCAGGGTGTGGAGTGTCCCAAATGTGACATGATACTGAGCTCTTCTCAGTCTCTTGGTGGTCACATGACCATGATGCATTCTCGAAACTCATGCAAGACACTCAAGTGTCCAAAGTGTAACTGGCATTACAAATACCAAGAAACACTTGAAATCCATATGAAAGAAAAACACCCGGATAATGACCAGCAGTGCATCTACTGCATGACAAACCAGTCGCACCCTCGCCTGGCACGTGGAGAGAGCTACTCTTGTGGCTACAAACCATATCGCTGTGAGGTGTGCAACTACAGCACAACCACCAAAGGAAACCTTAGCATACATATGCAGTCTGACAAACACCTCAACAATGTACAGGAACTGGCCAATGGAGGCGAGGTCAAAATGCCACCCCAGCAACCTGTTCAAACTGAGGCTGCGGTACAGCAGATGAAGAAGAACAAACCGAAACCAACATGGAAGTGTGATGTTTGCAACTACGAAACAAACGTGGCACGGAATCTGCGCATACACATGACCAGTGAGAAGCACACACACAACATGATGGTTCTTCAACAAAACATGAAACATATGCAAAGAGACATGCAGATCCAGCAACTCAACCAGCTGATGCTTTTGCAGAACGATCCATCATTCCTGGCCGGAATGTCATCACCCATGACCTCCCAGGGGAACATTCCCTTCGGCTACGACCAGAGTATGATGATGGCGAATATGCAAGGACCATACGGTGAAATCCCAATGGACCTACGGAAAGAAAATGGTGGTATGGGTGTTGCATTTGATCCGCAGACTCCTGACGCAGCCAGAATGTATTCTTGTTGTGTTTGTAACACATACGCAACCGACTCCCTCGAATCTCTTCATCAGCATTTACAACTAGACCGCACCAAGCAGCGGGAACAGGAGAATATCAGCGTGTCGCAGGGTACCTACATGTGTAGTCTGTGTACATACAAAACCAACCTCAAAGCCAACTTCCAGCTGCACTGCAAGACGGACAAACATCTACAGAGGCTTCAGCTGGTCAATCACATCAAAGAGGGCGGGGCCAGCAATGAGTGGCGGCTAAAGTACCTCAATGTCAGTAATCCGGTTCAAGTCCGCTGTAATTCTTGTGACTACTATACCAACAGTATCCACAAGCTTCAAATCCACACTGGTAATCCACGCCACGAGAGCAATGCCCAGCTGTTTGTCCATCTCCAGATGTGTGAGACAAAACTCAACGCCAAGTCCAAGTACTACTACTGCAGTTTGTGCAAGTTCTCCACACGAGCAAAACTTAACCTCATCCAGCATGTCCGCTCCCTCCGCCATCTACGCAGTGAAGGCATCAAACAGATGCAGATGAAGGAAGACGGTCAGGTGGATATCGACCCTGGTGAAATCTACATGGTCAAGGAATATGACGAGGGCAAGGACAAAATCCTGTTTGATGACGAAGGTATGCTTCTTAGTATTGTCTTGTCTTTGTATGAGTGTTCAAGGCCTACAATGTATGGGTGTTCAAGGCCTTCGGTTTCATTTGATAGTTGTGTTCTTGTATGAGAGTTCAAGGCCTACAATTTCATTTGATCGTTGTGTACTTGTATGGGAGTTCAAAGCATGCAGTCTGTTTGATGATCAGGAAAATGTATACTGTACAGAGTAGAAGTTGTAATGAAGTAAATGCTGGATATATTAGACTAACTGTAATGAATTCTTTGTTGTCATCTTATATCACCAGAATGTATCAATCATTGGGATTAGAATTACAAGATATTTGTTCCTTAATAACAGTCATAGTTTTAAATAAAACAAAGATTTTCAGATCTTCAACCAGGTATCCAGGCTGTTTATCCAATCCCAAAAACATTTTACAATGTAAATAATTTATAATGTATTCTTAAAATATGTATTTGTCTGATAACATTTTCTTATATTGTGAATATTTTATAAAAATAGAATATTCTTGTATCATAGATATGTTAGATATGTAGCAGAATGTTTGCAGAATACAGAAATAAAGTAGAATGTTCATAGAATATGGATTTAAAGTAGAATATTCGTAGAATATAGATATGAAGTAAAATATTCTTAAAATATAGATGTAAAGTAGAATATTCCTAGAATATAGCATTAAAGTTGAATATTCTTAGAATATAGCAACAAAGTAGCTTATATTTAGATTATAGATATAAAATCAATAATTCTTGGACTGCAGATTTAAAGAAGAATATTCTTAGGGTGTAGATATGAAAGAGAATATTCTTAGGGTGTAGATATGAAAGAGAATATTCTTAGGGTGTAGATATGAAAGAGAATATTCTTAGGGTGTAGATATGAAAGAGAATATTCTTAGAATAAAAAGAATAATGTTGAACACTCATAGAATATAGAAATAAAGGCAATCATTTTTAGAAAACAAGAGATTAAGTCAACAATTCATGGAATGAAAATATAAAAGAAATTATTCTTAAATTTAAGATATGTTATATAATTAACATATGATCGTATAATAAATAATATTTTTATAGAATAAACTAGAAATGTAGATTATACCAGTGACATAATTCACTAGGAAAAAAATTGTATTTACAAGGATCTACTACCTGTAAGTACAAGTATTGATTACCTGTACTATCAATAACCTGTATTTACAGGTATAATTTACTTGTATTTACAAGTATTTACTACCTGTATTTACAAGTATATTTTACCTATATTTACAAGTATCATTTACCTATATTTACAAGTATTTGCTACCTGTATTTACAAGTGTCATTTACCTGTATTTACAAGTATATATTACCTGTATTTACAAGTATTTACTACCTGTATTTACAAGTATATATTCCCTGTGCTTAAAAAGATATATTACCTGTAGTTAAAAGTATATTTTACCTGTATTTACAAGTATATTTTACCTGTATTTACAAGTATATATTACCTGTATTTACAAGTATATTTTACCTATATTTACAAGTATCATTTACCTGTATTTACAAGTATTTGCTACCTGTATTTACAAGTGTCATTTACCTGTATTTACAAGTATATATTACCTGTATTTACAAGTATATATTACCTGTATTTACAAGTATATATTCCCTGTGCTTAAAAAGATATATTACCTGTAGTTAAAAGTATATTTTACCTGTATTTACAAGTATATTTTACCTGTATTTACAAGTATATATTACCTGTATTTACAAGTATATTTTACCTATATTTACAAGTATCATTTACCTGTATTTACAAGTATTTGCTACCTGTATTTACAAGTGTCATTTACCTGTATTTACAAGTATATATTACCTGTATTTACAAGTATTTACTACCTGTATTTACAAGTATATATTCCCTGTGCTTAAAAAGATATATTACCTGTAGTTAAAAGTATATTTTACCTGTATTTACAAGTATATTTTACCTGTATTTACAAGTATATATTACCTGTATTTACAAGTATATTTTACCTGTATTTACAAGTATATATTACCTGTATTTACAAGTATATATTACCTGTATTTACAAGTATCTTTTACCTGTATTTACAAGTATATATTACCTGTATTTACAAGTATATATTATTTGTATTTACATGTATATATTCCCTGTGCTTAAAAAGATATATTACCTGTAGTTAAAAGTATCTTTTACCTGTATTTACAAGTATATTTTACCTGTATTTACAAGTATATTTTACCTGTATTTACAAGTATATAGTACCTGTATTTACAAGTATATTTTACCTGTACTTACAAGTATATTTTACCTGTACTTACAAGTATCTTTTACCTGTATTTACAAGTATATTTTACCTGTAGTTAAAAGTTTATTTTACCTGTATTTACAAGTATAATTTACCTGTACTTACAAGTATCTTTTACCTGTATTTACAAGTATATTTTACCTGTATTTACAAGTATATATTACCTGTATTTACAAGTATCTTTTACCTGTATTTACAAGTATCTTTTACCTGTATTTACAAGTATATATTACCTGTATTTACCAGTAAACATCACCTGTATTTACAAGTATATTTTACCTGTATTTACAAGTATTTCTTACCTGTATTTACAAATATATGCTCTATGTATTATATGTACAAAAAACATGAATCCAATTAAAACTATGAATATTCACAAGAATATTTGCCAAGTTACTGCTACCAAAAATCAATCAGGCGTATAGAAAAGTGATTAATGTAGCATCCATTTAATAAGAATTTTACATCAGTGACGACAGTCAGAAATATTTAGATAGGAAAAGATTTGCCATCCCGCACTAAAAAAAAATCATGAAAAGGATTTTGTCTGGATTTTGTTTAGTGTAGAGCTGCCAGGGTGATAAATAACTATGTAGTTTATATAAAAATAGGTTGTAAAACAAGCCCTTTACATACAATTATTGCTTCTGTTAGTCACAGTTTTGAGATAAGTTCTGTTTTCATCAGCATTTCCTTTTATTTATGTATGTCGTGACACTCAGATTAAAGACAACCAAGTTCAGGTGGTGATAAACATCTCCAGAAAGTTTGTCATTAAACTGACCGGTCAGTAATCCATTAAATTATGATCAGTTAAATTTCAAAGTGAGATTATGGCTAAATGGGAGTATTAAGTTGTGTGTGTAGTTGTCACTATACTGCCAGGATTTATATCTTAATGGGTAAATCACTAATCAATGGAGTAAAAACAATATATATTGAAATTTGCTGTAAGCCTTCAGTGTACCATAAATAATCATGTCTGTCGCTATAACAACCATCGAGAAAATGAAAATATTACGAAAAGCGAAGACTAATTACTTCCCAAACCATCTCTTCTACTGATTTTGCAAGTGCTCTAAAAAAAATCCATTATTTTTTTTTATTGTAATGGACAATGCAATATTTCCTTTGTCTGGAAATATTTTGATGAGCATGCACGTCATGTAGAGAAAATGCATAGTCAACATGCATTACATATCTGTGTAGTTTCATGTACACATTTGTAAGTCTGATTACATTGCCGTTATTTAACACATCTGGTTCAGTTTTCTTGTTTACAACCACGTACAAATACACTATTAACTAAGGCTTTTCATTTCAAAACTGACCCTGCAATTTTTTCCATTCATTACCATGAAAGACTTTTTTCTTAAGGTTTTGTCTATAACAACAAGGTAATTATGTAAAACCTGATTGATTTGAAAACAAGGTCTTATTTCATAAGACGTTTCTTAAAAGGTTCGTCTTAATAAGTTAATTCTGTTTCAGCCTTTCTTGGCTGGTCATTAAACACTGTGGTGGTATGTCACATTATACACAGCTTATTAATATGGTTTTGATTGGATTTAAATAGGAAATTTTGCAATAAAACATAATGATACATGGTTCTACCGTCGGCCTAGTTTTGACAACTAGAGAAAGGTTGTTTGTTTTGGGTAGCACAATACTTTATTTTAAGGGATCAAATATGTTGTTAAAGGGTAAAAGAAAATGTTTGATTTTAATCAGCATTGAATATTTATTTGGGCCAACGTTTTGTTTGAACATTGTAATGATGCTAGTTCCTGTCCTGTCACGGGTGTACTCATTAATAAATGGTCAGAGCTTTTGAACTATTGTTCAGTATTATAATGTAAGTAAATATGTCGCTGGAATTGTAAAGACAATGAAAGGCTTTTCACTAGCCAGTTAGAACAATACCCTCCAGGTATACCAAGGTTGGAGCTTTAAGATCACTATACAAATATGAAAGACTAAGATGTTTTAAGGAACAAAAGTTGCTTGATTGGCAAACAGGGTAAACAAAAGGGAGAATAAAATTTTGTTGGCGTTCCTAGCTGCCTGAATAGGTCTGCGCTATTTACATTAGGTCTCAGTCCCATTGTTTGGCTGGCTCTAACAAATTTCTTAAATCAATTTGAAATCTCAAGTAGCCTCATTATTAAAAGGAGTTTTATCTGGTGCTCAGGAGTGGAAAGGATATCCCCTTCGTAAAGAAAGAGAAAACTCAGGTTGTCCTAGGTAACCATTATATTCTAGCTTTGTTTAAATGTTTTCCCCTCTGTAGAAAGGGAGGGGAGAAGTTTCTACTTTTTATCTATTCATATTCTAATATTTGGCTTTCGTTGTTGATAGCGCATTTATGAGTTTGATTGTAATGAATGGATAGACCACATGACTCATAGGCTATTCTACAAACCGGGTTTTGCATGCTTTTATAGACAAATGTATATACACAACAAAGATGAGGCAAATTACATATGAACGAGTTGTTTCACACCGGGAGAACTAGAGCGGGTTAAGTTTTAAGGAGGTGTTGAGGAGATCAGATCGAGAATAGGGAGAAAGCAAATGGCGATTGGTTTGATTATTAGTGTTACGTATGTACAGTGAGAGGCTTCTAATCTTATGTATGACCTCCCGACTACCACAGCATTCAGCAATTGTGTAGTGGTATAAGGCAATGA